CTTAATCGATGATATTCCTGCTCCCCAAACTAATACTTGGTGACTTGAATTGGTCATAATATCACATGGGTAGTAAAAAAACAGACAAATGTGGTAGACTTCTTCAGAACTTAATTGACAATCAAAATTCTAATTTTAATGAATACTGGTAAATCTACTCATTTCAGCTCCCACAATAGTACTTTTTCTGCCATCGATATTCATTGTGTGATCACACATTAGCTACAAGTTTTTCTGTGAATAGTCTTGATTATCTAATAAATAGCGATCATTTCCTGTAACAATTGAAACCATTTGCATGATCAACCAAATATTCCTGTATTACCAAAAATGAAATTAAACTCAGCAAACTGGACTTAATATAGAGATCTATTAAATAATTATCTTACGAACATTTATTTCTAGAAGATAGCATAGATTCATCTACTTCATCATTTCAATGATACAATAGTAAAATGCGCTAATATATGCAGTGGGAAAAACAAAACCTTGTAAACGAAAACCAGTACCATGGTGGAGTGAAGAAATAGCCTAGCTATGAAATCTAGCAAACATGCTTTCAATGTTTTAAAAAGACATAAAACAACAGAAAAGTTATCATTTTTAAAAAACTTAGAGCAAAAACTAAATATCTTATTAAGAAAAGTAAAAAAGAAACATGGTCAAATTATGTCTCTACCATAAATTCATCAACACCTATGACTACAATCTGGAATAAAGTTCGTACATTAAAAGGTGAACAAAACTCAATTCATATTAACACTCTTTATTATAAAAACAAATTAATATCTTCCAAACAAAAAATTAGAAATATTATGTCAGATGTATTTAAGAATATTCAAGCAATGCAAACTTCAATCCCGCATTTTTAGATTTCAAAAATAAACGTGAAATGACAGATATATCTATAATAGATAGTGATAATCCACTAAATTTCCCCCATCATATATCAAGAATTTGAAGAAGCCTAGATAAATCAAAAACACTTCATCGGTCCTGATAATATACCAATCATATTTATCAAAAACTTGCCGTACATAGGAAAATTGATTCTCTTAGACATTTCAATCACAATTTACCTTAATAAAAAATTTCCTTCAATCTGGTCTGAATCAACAATTATTCCCATATTAAAACCTTTCAAATCAAAAACTGACCCCCTTTCCTATAGACCAATTTCTCTTGCAAATAATACATGCAAACTACTAGAAAAAATTTTAAATAACAGATTAATGTGGTTTCTTGAAAAAAAAGAATTATTAAGCCATATCCAAAGCGGTTTCAGGAAAGGCAGATCAACTCATGATGCCTTAGTAGCTATTGACAATATTATATGTGAGTCCTTTAGAAATAACCAGAAAGTAATTGCCATATTTTTTGATATAAATAAAGCATTTGATACTGCATGGAGATACAACATTTTACAAACCATGTCCAATTGGGGTATCCAGGGAAATTTTCTTGCCTTTGTAAAACATTTCATGAATAATAGGATATTTCAGGTACGTGTAAATGGAATTACCTCAAAAACAGAATGTCTTGAAAACGGTATTCCACAGGGCTCAACCTTAAGCCCCACTTTATTCTTAATAGCAATTAATAATATCGCTCAAGAGATAAAGCTACCTTTGAAAGCAGATCTGTATGCAGATGACTTAGTTGTATATACTAGTAGCTGCAATATACACTAGCCTCAAACATTTTGCAATCATTTCTGCATAAACTAGAAGACTGGTCCCAAAAGACTGGTTTTACGTTCTAAGGTGATAAATCTCGTTTCATGGTATTCAATAAAAGAAAAACTGATTGCAAAACAACACTTACTCTAAATGGTATCAACCTAGAACAAGTAGAGAGCATTGACTTTCTTGGCCTAAGACTGGACAGTCAGTTAACATGGGCAGAACATATTAAAAAGCTAGTCGTATCCTGCCAATCTAAAATAAATCTCCTTAAAATGCTATCAAATCGATCTTGGGGAGCGGACACCATAAAATTGCTGCATATATACCAATCATTAATCCGAAGTAAACTGGATTATGGTGCAATATGCTATTCAACTGCGAGTAATTATATACTTAAAAAACTAGACATTATACAAAACACATGTTTAAGACTAATTCTGGGTGCTTACCGAACTAGTCCTGTTTTCAAGCTTTCAGGTTATCCTAAATGAATCTCCCCTATCAATACGAAGACAACACATTTCTTTAAATTATGCCGCGAGATTGTCTTCCAACCCTAATAACACAAACTATCCACTTCTTTATAAAATATATCAACCTACTCATTGCCATCAACAAATTAAATATCCACCCCTTAAAGAACGTCTAACGAGATACGGTTTTGACATGGAGCAGCTCACACATTCTTACCCTACACAACAAACTATACCTCCCTGGACTATTAATTTTCCCACTATTGATCTATCCCTCACAGCCTATCCAAAGAGTACCACAAATCCCATAATCATTAACAAATTATATCAAGAACGGATATTAGAATACACTGGACATAACAAGATTTTTACCGATGCGTCAAGAACTGAAAACGGACACGCAGCGGCCTTTATTCTAGAAAAGTCTGAATATGCAGTTCGCATCCCTCAATTCTGCAGCATTTTCACGGGAGAAGCAATCGCCATTTTAAAGGCTTTAGACATGTGTAAGAGTCATGCAAGCTCAGATTTTCTCATCATTACTGACTCTTTTATCTGTTCTTCAGAGCTTAAGGCAAATATATCCAGTACATGCTATCCTGCAACAAATACAATTAGCACTTTATCACCTACAAAACAGACAAGTGAACGTTACATTTCTCTGGGTACCATCACATACAGGTATCGCAGGAAATGAAAAAGTAGATGAATTAGCAAAGAAAGCTGCTACTGACGAGCAAACTGAAATTATGACTACAATTCCATTCAGTGATATCCAGCTCAATATTAAACAGCACTGTGTAAAAAATTGGCAACAAATGTGGAATTCTACTAAGGCTAACCTTAAAAACGTGAAAACTAGGATTGACAATAAACTACAATTTCCAGAAAACAGAAGGCAACAAGTGATTATAAACCGACTAAGAATTGGACACACAGCGTTAACTCACCAGCATCTCATAACAAAAGAACTACCACCTGAATGTTCCTATTGTGAATGTCCAATAACTGTTCAACATGTATTGATTGAATGTCCTCTTTATTCCTACGAAAGAGCCATCAACAACGTACCAGAAGAAGCAAAGAAACTTAAAGATATTTTAAACAGTAATGTATCTAATACAATCAAATTCCTTAAGGACATACGTTTACTACACAAAATTTAAGTTATATTATATGTATCTCTTTGTAATTTGTAATTTATTATGTGTAATTTAATACGCAATTTGTAATTAGAAAAAAATTTTTTTTGTAATAACAACTGTAAAATCTGTAAAACCCGCTAATAACCTTTAATGGTTGATGCGGAAATTCTAAATAAAAAAAAATATGTATCATTAAATCATATCATTAAATGTAGTTGAAAAATTTATTTTTTTAATAGCTGCATTGTAGGTTTATACCAAACAAACAAATAAAGGTTTTACATATTTACAAGGCTACGATACTGCCTGGCAGATGCTTTCTGAAAAACTAGATCAAAAGCTTAAAATTTTTTTGTGTATTCGTGCAATGCGGAAGATTGATCGATGAGGTCTTAAAGCATGTGTCATGCGTAGAAGAAATAAAGCTTTCTAAAAAGTCTTTATGGGATATGACAATCATTCAATTTTTTTACAATAAACTAGCTAAAGTAAGTCAAAATAAATGAAAATATTACACTTAAGTTGAATCGCCTCAGTTGAATGAATTTCTTGAATTTTTTGAACAGTGGCAACACATATTGCAATCATAAGAAGAGCGTCATTTCTCCTAAATGATGACCATCAAAAGTTACTCTCGGTTTAAGAAATACATACAATATTGATCTAAATAAAAAATTTTGTTAAAATAATGTTCCATTTTATGTTTATGACATTTTACTCTTATCGGATAGGCCGCAATTGACGAAATGCCCCTGAAAATGATCTAGGGATCGAAAGTACTTGGGCAAGATTAAGTTAATACTGTGCTCGAATTGCCTATTATATTATCAAAGTTTATTTTTCACACCTATCGAACAATTTTATCACTACAATTTACAACTACAATCACTTACAATTTATACGTAAGTTTTTGAGTTTTCGAGCCGGATTATGATTTCCATTTCAATCGAAAATCATCTATAAGGAGAAAAACAAAAGTTTCTTATAAGAATTAACTAGAAAATATAGCACATAACATAATCATTTCGAATTTTTTTTATGATTCTACCTCCATTTTGAGACCTTAAAATTTGTCAGTAATAGTGTCGGAATGTGGCCCTGGGAAGGTTAACCCCCAAATCCCCCTGGGTGCGCCACTGCGCTCCTGTATATATTAAACTAAATATTTATGTCTGTGGTTAGGTAATAGTGTATTAGATAACGAGAGTTGTAAAATGCTTATTACATGCGAGTAAAAAAGTTGCGCGCGAGCCGCGTAGCGGCGAGCGCAGTAATTTTACAAGCATGTAATAAGATTACAACTCAAGTTGTGTACTATACTTTTTCTACCATTATTTTCGTTTATAAAAATAAAAATTAAATTACCACTATATTTACACTGACAGTTTAATAATTTTTAATCTGTAAAAATAACGTCTGTTAATTCGTTTCCATGGTAACTCGACCAACTGACTTACAAGGCTTATGTGATATTACACATTTTTATAAAACCGAAGCGTAATTTGTTTTATTACGTGCTAGTCATTACGTGTCAGTATCTGTTATGATGGATTTACTTAGCATCCAAATAGTAGGTATTAGAAAATTTACTAGTAAGAGAGTAAAAAAATAAAGAAACATATTTGTATTAGATTTTATTGTAACACAGTGATTAAAAACAATTTTTAATTTTATTTTAAAAAGTGGAGCTCAGTTGTTTAGCTTCGTTCTTTAATGGATATTCGAATTCCATTTTTGGAGACTAATATAGTCTCCGGTGCTAGCTGTAATTCATGAACAGGGGTTGCTGGCATTAATTCAAAATTTCTTAAAATTTTCGATAGCGTACTTTTGACTTCTAGTATTGCAAATTTTTGACCTAAAAGCATTAAAATATGCATTAAATATGATTAATTTAAGAAAAATATAATATAAGTTCTCAAATTTCTTCAAATTTTCAATAAAATACTGTTTACTTTTAGTATTGTAATTTTTTGACCTAAAAGCATAATTAGATAAATGTGATAAAAATATAACTATATTTGTCTTGTCTCTCAATTACATAAAACGTAAAAAATTAAATAAAATATTTAGGTTGTATTCATGTAAAAAATATTATTAACTTATTGATGGATTCGACCGTTACTTGATGGAAATTCATTTTATGTAACAATAAAACACTGAAAATGGCATGCGTTTACACTTTATAGTCTCTCTAATGAAATAGGTTGAGGAGGGGAGAACTGTTTGTCTCGAGTTGGTCATTCAGAATTATATCTGTTTTTTTTTTAATTTGTTGATTTCCATAGATTCTAACAAGGATAGCTCAAGGCCTTTATTTTGAATGTCTATACTTGGCACATTGTCCAATTTAAAAGCACAGTAAGAGATGAAATGTAACAGGGTCTGATTAGTAAATAAGACAATGTTATTGTGTTTTATTGTATATGAGATTTCAAGTGTATGGATTAATATGAGGTTAAAGAAAACCAAAAACATGAAATATATAAAAAGGAGGAATTTAAAGTGATTGGGTAATATAAGCCACGAGACTTACTTATCTAAAATCAGCAGATAGCACGAAAGTGAAGACTACATTGAAAATCAGACGTGCTTTATTAGATTTGAAACATGACGGTAAAACCAATAATTACATATGCATTAAGAGTATGGTGATCAAAGATTCAGCTAAAAAGTAGCATCTTCAGACTAAGCAAGATGTAAATATAGCTTGTCTTGGAATCAAGGAGGTTCTAAAGTATACGTATAAACTTAAACACCAAGGTGACATTTAAGCTAGTAGGGGAATACCAAGAAGTCGAGATACTAGCAGAACATAACACTGTCACACTTGCATGGACTCCCGATTATCGGGAATATGTAGTAAGAAGGGACGTGTACGAACTCATGACTGTATAGCCTCCATAAAATTATTAGACCCTCCGAGATATAGTAAACTGATCACCGGCGTCCTTTGGAGATAGGTAAACTCATCACCGCAGATAGGTAAACTGATCACCAGTATTTTTGCCCTAAGAGGCTGGTTTCTAATGCGGAAGATTGCCAGTTATCTGTTACACTTCTCGTTTATGTGGTAATTTATTAAATTCAGAAATTATTGTAAGCAAATTACTTTAAAATAGATATTAATATCGATTTTTTACGGTGTAGCATATTCGACGTATCTGCCAATCTAAGCGGTTTTGTTCTGTGCCCAGATAATTTTTCTTGCTCTTTTGTCTGGAATAATGACTTTCGTACTTTCGGAAGGATATTGTTACGTAAAAATTAGTCATATTAAAAAAACCTGTAAACATGTTGTTTATTTACTAAATATGTTGTAGATTCGGCGAGACCCTTCGATCAGCTGGTAGAAATATACCTGAAACGGTCGTTCGAAATTTTCAGAAACTGGTCGAACGATGACCCAGCCAACTTACTTTCTGGTATAATCGGAAGGATTCCACAGAACCTTCTAGATAGCGGTGTTTGGATACAAATACAGGATTTTTATTGCGGTCAGTTAGTAAGAAGATAAATTCGGGCTCGCGTAATTAAATGTACGTTCGTAATAAATTATTATAAAATAAATTAGTACAAATAAAGACTTTAATAAATTTGTGAGTGTTATAAATAGAACCTTTAGTAAATTAAATCAAGAACAATAAATTAGAATTAATAAAAATATAGCAATATGCTGATGTGTACTATTTAATGTTTCGATATGAGTTTTATTGATTACCGTGTGTCTAATCACAACTCTTTGATCAACTTTTATTAAACCCCTAGCTAATTTTTTTTCAACATATTCACTATTACTAAATTAGATATACAACGTGTATTTAAAAATGTAACCTTGCACACCTTCATTCGCTGATTATTTACTGTAAAATGGTAGTGTATTGTATTATTTTTAGACTTGGTAGAGTTTGGGTCTCTTTTTATTGATTGACGAAGAGTAGGTTGGATGTCGACACATAAAAAGATAAATTGCTTTTTAATATCTAAAACGTTTGTCTCAGTACAGTATGAGTTAAAGATTTTTTGTCTTTCGTATTCTGGCAATCTTTTACAGCATTTCATGAGAAAAATGCTAGATTTTAAATTTTAACATTTTAGCAGACATGTTTTCGCCTCTTTTACTGAGAGACTCTTTTCCACCAGCTTTTTTCCGTTTGCGAACGTTTGAGGCCCAATTTTGTTCATTCACTACACGTTTTTTTACCTTTTTGTTTGCACTTAGATACATTTTGTACCTTTCTTTTGACACTTTTCTCTTCTTCTAAAATGACTTCATTATGTTAATAATGGAATTGCCTGCATCACTGCTTAGAGATAAATCATCCTCAAGAAAATATTTTGTTATTGTTTTACTTGTCGTAGAAGTAGTAATAGCTTTCTCTTTTACCTTTGTTTTCGATGGTTTACCTATACATCTCACATCATTGTCGTCTGAGAGTTTATATCCATTTTCCAATTATTAAGCAACGGATGTTTAACTTTTAACAATCTAACACTATTGCCAACTATATAAAATGGTTACAATTATTTTAGTTCATGACAATTACTCCAGGTACCAGGGTGTTAACACTATGTCCGCATGATAAATAACAGTGCACACATTTAGTAGAGGTGAACACCACCAAGTCTACATGGTGTTGTCTACCTCTGACTGGAAGTGGACTTGGTGTTTATTAAAAGTCAGTAACTTGTAGTAAAATTGTCTCTGGCCATAGTATGGTTTACCTCTGTGTAGAGCCAGAAAAGGTATAAGTATTCAAAAGTGCAATAATCTCAATTTGATCAAAATAGACAATATGGTTTGCCTCCGGTGTACAAAAATGTTTTTGAGGATATAAATGTATTTTGAAATTACGATAACTCTATTTTATAAATTTCAAAAACAGCGACTGGACATACATTGTACTCCAGAGTTAGTTGTCCTAGATATATTTAAGCCATATAAAGAAAGAAATTCAGAAAGTTGAATACAATTAAAAATACTGGACAAACAATAAAAAATAGTTAAACCAAAAACAATGTAAATCATGTGAAATTGTTTTTCAACATAGTATATACAAAAAAAAATTAGGAATCAACAATTTTGGAAAAGAAGAAATTATTCCTACTTCCTATATTGTTGTTTTTCCTTTATTCCTACTGATTAGTTACTCTTTGAATTCTGCTGAAACCACAAAAGCAAACAATAGTATATATAAATTACCTATGCAATTTCTCGGACCAGCACTGAAAGGAGTGTATACGTATGGATTTGTTAATTTTGCGTCTTCAAATCTTTCTGGAATAAACTTGAGAGGTTCTGGAAAATACTCTTCACATCGATGCATAGCAAAAGTAGACAACAAGATATTCATACCCTTTGGAAGTAGATGTCCCTCTAAAAAATAAATATGAAATACTGAATTAATAAAAAATGAATTGATATAAATATCGCAATATTAAATATTTAATGATATTCTATCTGTTGAGGAAAGTCACCTAATATGGGGATAGTGCCTACTATGGAGTAGGTCACCTTTGGCAAATACTGATTCCTACTTCTATCGTATGCATTGTTTACCAACCACTACCTTGCCAGGAGGTAACCATTTTTCCTATTTGCTTAAACTTGTTCTTGTACTTAACGTTTAACCTTCTTTGGTTTGACGTTAGAATAATTTTGTGGGATAGGGAAAATTTATTGGTCGTGCTGAATTTTGGGTGTTTAAAAGGTGAATTTTTAAAGTGTTGTAGTATTATTCTATACAAAATTTTGCATGGTTTATTAAAATAGTTTAGGTTTTTTAAAACAGAACCATGCTTTTTGCAAAAAGTCGCTCCTCAAACAAGTCTAGTGTGTTCGTAATATGGGATGGCAATTACTAATTTGGGGTACCCCATATTAGACCTTGTACCGCTATGATTATTTACTTTTAGATGCATTTACAAGCAAGCCGGTGGGCTGACAGATGTCAACGCATTTTCGGAATTTCAATTTTCTCGAAAAGTAAATATAATAAAAGTACATACGTTTAGGTTTAAAAAAATTCTAGAAGTTTGGACACAGAATAATAAACAATGAGAATGCCCACTCTGCTTGAAAAAATAAGTTCGCGCATCTCGTTCACGCAGACGAAATCAGTCATGTTTTAGTCGGAACCAGTGCTGTTCAGTGATATTTTATCTGGTGTGGATAGACAAATTTACCCGGTTTAATTTATTTACGGCAACTACAGACATAATATGCACTATTTTATAACCTTTAGTTGAAGAATAGATTCAATTATTCAAATGTACTAAATTATCAATCTGTAAAAATTTAAATTACAGTTCTGTCGTAGCTTGCCACAAATTTCTCAATCCGAATCTATGTTTCCGTTTAAAACAGGCGTTCGCGTGCTGACAAACTTCAAAAGCGGCATCTGAAAATGGGCATTCTGATTGTAATTTAATCTGTGGTTTGGATTTCCAACAATTTTAATGTTTTTAATTTATCCATATTTAATTAAAAGACAATTTTTTCTGTGCAATTAAAACATATTTTTATTTCAAATTCCTAAAAAAGGGAAAGCCTTGAATATGGAAGAGATAATTTTTTATAATGATAGCTATTCTGCAAGGAGTAATGGGTTCCATGAAAAGTACGCGAATCCACAATAAAGGTACCTCAAACAACCTTAAGAAGGTACATTAAGATTGAGGGGAATCCTGAAGACGTAAATTCTCATTTTGGACGAAAAATAGCATTTTCAGAAGAAATGGAGTCAATGCTCGCCAATTGCTACTAACAAATGAAAAGAAGATTTTTTATGGAATTACTATAATAGTTATATGTCAATATAAGAAACATAACAAAATAAATAACATAAAAAATCTATTCAGTGTAACTAAAGAAAGTGCTGGAAAGTAATGGTTTGCCGAATTTTTTGCAAGGCACAAGGAATTATTATCACTAAGAATGTCTCAAAGAATATCATATGCGCCAATTAAATCATTTATCAAAGAAAACTTTGAAACCGGTCCCACCATTGGGCAATATAAACATCTGTGAGTATGTACCGTTTTAAATTTTTCTGTGAAAGAATATTAAAATAGAACTAATGAATGGCAGTCCGTCTGCGAAAGCAGCGACTATGGATACAGCAATTAATGGGTTTAAAAAAACTGGTATGTTTCCCCCAACAGAAACATATTTAAAGAATACGATTTTGTCAAAGAGAAAACAGTCAATGAGCAAATAATAAATAGAGGACGAGTAGACGAAAAGCAACATTATAAAAATGTACCAGAAGAAAAATCCCCTGAAAAGCAGATTTATATTTGATGCCTGTTCCAACAGTACTAAAAATATCACAAAAAAAGTGTACAAGAAGTGGCAAAGCTCTCATTGTAACAAGCACTCCATACAACGATGAATTAGAAAGCAGTATTGAAAAAAGGAAATTACCGTTAACTTCTGGTGTTAACAGGAAGGTAAGTAATTCAAAAACAAATAAACAAAAAAAAACTAACCAGTAGTTCTACATCTTTAAATTCGGTCCCTGTAGTAGAGCATTATGATTCAGTCGAAAGAAAATGCAAAAAAGTATTTTTGAAGTGTGTATATTTTTAATAATTCCTAGCTGAGCGCTTTCGGCTTTACAAAGCCATCATCAGAGCTATGGTCAATGCTCTGAAATGGTCAATGTTCAAAAATATCAGTCTTTTGATCATTATAATTCAGATGTATACCTTAAAGAAAACTTTGAAGAAGGAGCTATTTGTACTTTTTGCGAAACTCCATATTCTGAAGATATCAGAGGTGATTAATGGGTTAAGTGTTGGGGCTGTTTTAACTGGGCTCACGTTGAATGTTGTGGGTGTGAAAGAGACCGGATTATTTGAGACTTTTGCTCTGATAAATAGATTTATTGTGGGTTATTCTTAGATAAACAGATTTTTAAATAATTTAAGAAAATATACTTTTTGTTACATATATTTTTATGTCATTTTCATAAATAAACAGTTTTAATTAAAAATTAATAATAATATTTATTTTGAAATTTTACATTGTTGATGGTACCCTATCTTAGCTATCCTATGTCACTAACATAATGTAGAAAACCTTTTTTTAGACACTGACTATTTCCATTTTGCATTTTTTTATGCTGTGTCTTTTAACTAAACGCTTAAAAATTATCCAAGAAATCCTAAAATTTACAAATAGTGCCAAAAATTAATTACGCTATTTTTTAATAGTATTTAAAAAAAAGTACCCCATCGTCACATTTAAGTTTGTAAAAAATACTGTGAAAGTGCTTTTTCTTTTGGCTTTTCTTGTTTTGAATATATTTGCCTAATTTGATGTTTGTTCTGAAAGCTGGTATTCTTTATTTTTGTTTATGTATTCCGGTATTTTTGTTAATATTTTGCCTGTATATGAAATCAAGCAGAATGTACTAGTTTTTTTCTCTGGTGGTGGAAATACTAATTTCAGGGCTTTCTTATTTACTTTTTGATTAAACATTTTATTTATTGTTTGATCGTTGTACCTATTGTTTACTGTTATTTGCTTAATTATATTCAATTCTATCTCAGAATTGTTTTTTATATAGTAATTTCCAATATTCTATGTAACATGATATGGTAGGCTGCCAATTTATGTTGTATGGGATGGGATGGTGTATAGTTGTATCAGTATGGGTTCTTCGTCTTTAAGTTCCACTTCTATCGGAGATTGAAAATCATTGTGGCAATTTTGTTGGTTAGGCGCTGAATAGTTCAATTGAACTGCATCCAAACCATTCACGAATATTGCGTAGCCATGAGATTTTACGTCTTCCTACGCTTCTTCTGCCTTTGATTTTACCCTGCATTATATTTCTTAGTAGTTCGTATTTTGCACCTCTCATGATGTGTCCCAAGTATTCAAATTTCCTGATTTTTATGGAATTTAAAACTTTCCATTATTTTCCCAGTTGTTCGAGAACTTGTTCGTTTGTTTTGCGATTCATCCATGATATTTTCAAAATACGTCGGTAACACCACATTTCGAATGCTTCTAGATTTTTAATGTTAAATTTTTTAAGTGTCCAAGCTTTAACCTTATACAAAAGGGTAGATAAATGCGGCATCTTATTTATTTTGTCCGATCGGTATCTTGTCTGTGATCCATGCTCCAAGGTATTGTACGAAGATATTTGTTCAATTTCTGTATTATCTAGTACTAGTTTAAGTTATATTTTTTGGCTTTTGTAAATACCATGAACTTGGTTTTCTTCAAATTTATTTTTAGTCCATAATCGTTGTAATATATATTTAATTGTTCAGCACGGCGAATCTGGATATCCTCGGTCAGTTCATTTTCAACTTTCACGTTTGCTGTTTGGTTCCAATACAGGTTACATATGATTCTAATGTCTCTACTGTCAATGTTTTTATTTATTAAAATTTATTTTATTAAAAAAAAACTGCATAAATAATAATTATGCTGAACTCTATCAAATGCCTTCTCAAAATCAATAAAACAGGCATATACTTCCTGATTAATATCTAAGCATCTCTGCAAAAGAACACTTACTGCAAACAATGCATCTCGTGTTCCCAGTCCTTTCTTAAATCCCATTTGTGTATTACTTATGCCTCTATCTAATTTCTCATGTATTCTATTGTGAATTACTTTTAAAAACAATTCCAAGACATGACTCATTAAGGCTATGGTATGTTCATTGCACTCCTTTACATTGGATTTTTTGGGAAGCAGTATGAATATTGATTGGAGCCATTCTTTAAGTATTATACCTGTTATTTATTATACCAGTATTCACAATTTTGAGTAATTCGCTAAGAAACTTCATCAGGCCCAGGAGATTTACCACCTTTAGCTTGTTTCATTGCATATTCAATTTCTTCTCGTATAATGTCAGGACCAGTATTATCCTTAAATTCTTTTGGTGCTTCTGTTCTCTCTTTGTCTTCAAAAAGTTGTGTTATTATATTGTGTCCATCTCTGCATTTTTTGGTTTATAACTGTTATAATTGCATCACTTTCTTCTCTTAGTTGCATAGTTTGAAGTATTTTTCTCATTCCTGTTAATTCTCTAATTATTTTACGCATGTTAAAAAGTCATATTTTTTCTCAATTTCTTCTAGTTCTTGGCACTGCTCATGTAACATTCTCTCCTTAGCTTCTTTTATTCTCTTTTTAATTAATCGATCAGCTTCATTATATTTAATTGGATTTTGTGTTTTGAATGATTTTCTTCCACTCATTAATATCATTTTTTTTTCAGTCATCTAGTCTTTATGATTTCTATTCTTTGGTCTCAAGTTTTTATTTGCTGTTTTAATTAGTACTACTTTTATATTTTCCAATTTCAGATCAATAATATAGCTCTTTTTATTCAGTTCTTGGGCATTTCGCAGATTTTTAGTCAGAGTTTTTACAGTTTGTTCTTTTGTTTGTGGTTGCCTTAATCCCTAAATATCAATTCTACTTTGTGTGGGTTTTTAACCAGTTTCAAGTTGGTTCATAATGGGACTACTCTGGGGTTACGGTCTGAACCAATGTCTTCTGCAGGGTAAGTTTTCACAGACAGTATAGAATTACGAAATCTTTGTCTAATGAGGAC